GTTGTCACCCCATAACAGGAAGTGCCTGAACAAGCACCTCCATGGTGGGATCACCGGGGGATTATTTAATGAAAGCTGCAGATTTACATGTTTTATAAATGATTTTAATGTGTTAAATCTTATTTTTTTTCACGATTGGGTTGACGTCTACTGTAACATAACCTGCTGGGACCGGTAGTTCCCCGGCAGCAGCTGCATCCAGTTGTTGACCAGATTTCATCTCGGCGACATTCCCATCTGGGACTTGCAGTTCCTCCTAAACAGGTGCGCCTCGGGCTGTTGATCCGTGTCTGGCGCACAGTTCAGCAGGCCTTGATCCCCGGGGGGGGCCCTCCGCAGGGCAGAGGCGAGCTTCCATCCCCACTGGGACTTGTAGTTCCACAACAGCTGGAGAGCCGCAGGTTGGTTTCCCCGCGCTGCGACGAATCACGGGCCTCCCCCGAGGGGCGCTCCCCGGGGGCCCCTCTGCAGCCCAGGTGTTTGTACGGCATTATTATTATTTAAAGCCACAGTACACCCTTCCCCGGAGAGCGCGAGCACGCGGCTGTGCCAGTTGTTTCTGCGCGGTTGCCTGTCATGGTTTCCGTGGATGAGCCGGTGCGGAATGAATGATGAGAGTGCACGTGAAAAAAGGAAGGGGGAAGATTTCACAAGCAGTGCACGCCCCACCCCCCTCTCCTCCGCACCCTCCCACATGATCCATCACTAATGACTTATCTGTCACTCTGCCCGAGGTCCCTACCGAACGACGCACGCCACATCGCTACTGTCACTTATCGATCAGCCTGGTGTGTAAAAATGCATCACCTGACGCGGAACATGACTGCGACAAAATAACCCAATCTGGCCACTGACACTGCAATCTGATCGTACAATCTGCGAAACTAAGGCTGCGTCCGCGTCTTTGTATTGTTGCTTGTTGCATCAGATCCATGGGAATGCATGCAGGCGTGTGTCAGCGTATGCATTAAGGTAAGCACCGTGACGCGCATTGATGTGTCATGGCACGTGTCAGCGTATGCATTAAGGTAAGCACCGTGACGCGCATTGATGTGTCATGGCACGTGTCAGCGTATGCATTAAGGTAAGCACCGTGACGCGCATTGATGTGTCATGGCACGTGTCAGCGCATGCTGATGTGTGTTACAATGCACACACACAAAAAAAAGTTCAAAAACTATTTTAAAAATATTTTTTTTAAAACAGGAAAATATAAAAAAAGAAAAATATTTTAAAGAAAAGAAAAAAAATTGAAAATAATAACTAAAAAACCGCACGTCAACCTGACCGCACGCGACGAACTCCCGCCGCATAATGAAGCATCTGACAGATGCCGGCAAAATAAAAACAATTGGGCGGAGCTAGCGGTGACTTCACCGCCAGCTTGTCCCAACTGTTTCCTATTGGCCGGCACCTGCCAGAGTCTTCTAGCAGGTCCCGGTCAATGAATAACAACAGGCGGAGCCGGCCGTGACATCACAGCAGGCTCCGCCCAGTTGTTATTGTTTCATGACAGATTAGTGTCCCCAGGTCATTACAACTGGGCGGAGCGAGCAGTGAGATCATGTCTGGCTCCGCCCAGCTGTCATTTGCGTGGAGATCAGTCGGCCTCGGCCGACCTTTCTCCACGCTTCGGCTGTCACTTCGGCTCAGCCGAGCCGTAGCATATGGGTTCGGCTCGGCTGAGCTGCACGGCTGCTGTATGGGCTATAGTGAAAAGCCCGTACAGCAGCCCTTCGGGTCGACTGAAACCGAAGGGCTCTGGCAGCCGAAGGATCAGCCGAAGCTGCGGCTGGATCCTTCGGCTCCGTCGTGAATAACCCCCTAAGACTTCTATTGATTTCCATGGAAAACCCATGGGGGGGCGGGGGGGGGGGGGTGATGCATTGCTGTCAATCCAGAATCAGCCACTTTGACAGATGAGGACAAAGTGACCGAAGGCTAGGAAAACTGCCTTCTTCCCAGAATGCAATGCTGGCCCTTCAGGGGCCCACCGTCATGTGAGGGAGGGGAGAAATTCATCAACCTTGTGTAAGCTCTGACTTGGACTCAGCCCTCCGGGGGTAGCGGGGGAACGCGGACAAGGTAAGTATCGGGAAGGTGAGGGGGGGGGGTTTGCCCTATAAATAGGACTGGTCAATTTTCCCCGAATGGGCAACAAGCCTCCTTAAGATGCGATGCTGAGCATCCATGATTGAAATAACTGAAATGCAAAGGGTGGGGCAGAGACAGTCAGGCTGGGGAGAAAAGTCTAGATGACGCTGGACGTCCTCCAGCCAGAAAATGAGGTGAGCTCTATCTGACTTGCTGCAGCTTCTAATGCGCATTGTGAGCAGCTCACAGGGTGCAGTGAGATCAGAGGAAGCAATTTCAGTCCAGAAGAGGAATCGGGACAACTGTGCAAGAGCAGAAGATCAGATTTTAAGTAAATTGCGGGCAAAAACAACAAATAAATAAACATATTTTTTTTAAAAACATAAGCAGAGGTGACCTTCCCGGAAAACCAAATGTCATTACGATTAGCAGATCCGGAGTTACAGGCAGCTAAAAGTATTCACAAATGACCATTTCTGCTGACACGGAATGCACTGTCCCTCCCCCTCCCCCACCAAAGTTCTATTGGTCAATAAGGCCACCCATTCTATTAAAAGACCAATTGGAAGGCTCTGGAGGCCGGAGGGGCGGGGTCAAAGTTGACTTTTTCAGGAAAGGTTGACTTGTGAGAATTTAAAGCTGCCTGTTTCTGGGTCTTCTGGCTGTCCTGGGATGGGGCATCTGGATCTCAGCACACGGGAGGCCTGTACAGGTAAATAACATACATGAAACACGTTAAATGCACATGTGATCTCATGGGAAGACTGTTGTTAAAATGAACGGGCTGGCGACAGGGTCTTTTTAAGTGCAATGGGCTTTGGAGGTGCATTTGTCATCTATAGACCCCCAAATCTCCCCAAGAGGGCGACGGATGACAATGAAACCCGACAGGGGATCGGATCCTTTAGGAAAAGGTTCGGGGAGGAGTTCTACTTTAAACATCAATCTCACAGGCAATTACAACCTGCACCATGACGCAGTGTGCGTGTGTGCGTGTGGGATGGGAGCATATCATGCGTTTCCAAGGGCAGTTGAAATACACAGACAGAACATGTTTAAAGAGGACCTGTCTCCACTAATGCACTGCAAACATATCTTGCATGGTGAAGTTTTGCTTTCTACCCTTCAACTCAATCCAAATGATGTCATTAAAAAACGCAACGCAATGCCGCGCCACCCCAAAAAAATGCATGGATAGGCTTCTGCTATTGTCCTGTGTGTAGAAGGTCCGCATCTTTGCGCTGTAAGAATGCGCACGTTAGCACGTGTGGTACTGCAACACACAACAGTTGGGGCTAATGCCGTGCCACGCATTCTTAATGGCGTCCAATGAATCTTGCCAATGCATGCCACATCACACGCTGCTTTTTAGTACATGCGCCTTTTGTGGTGCATTTAATGCTTTAGGGAGCTGATTAGAATGAACGAGCCGCCCTAACAAAATGCACACTGGAGCGCGAAGCGACGACCACCAGCGTCAAGTGGTACCCAGCCTTAAAGCTACAGCGCGCATTAAGGCGAGCCACAGACTGACCAGTCCCACAGTGTACAATATCAGCGGGAGGCCATTGCACTACATAGCTGTTGGTAGATCTAATAGAGATTGTATGTCCAGATTGTTATGTGTGTGGTGAGCTTTAAAGGGCACGGTTGGACGCATGTAGATAAGTGTACATGTTTGTTGATGACCGCCTCAAAATAAAAAGACATTTGCTAACAGGATTGAAAAATGTTGACTGTATCATTAGACCCCCCCCC